CAAGTAAATAAAAGGCCTTGCCCTCCATGGCAATTATAATAGGGAAAGTTAGCTAAAAACAAATAAAAATTACTGTTCCATTTAACCATCGCTGAATAACAAAATACCCTAGAACGTAGTGGTGTGAAACAACAGCCTCTTAATTTTATGATTCGGTGAGTCAGGAATTGGAACAGGATTGGTGAATATCTGCTTCATGATGAACTGGGGCCAAAAATGAACCAGCTGGAACAGCTGGAGATAGAGGGGAGGGGCACCAAGGGCCATATATCTAAGGCTGGTGGTTGGTGTTGTGGATTTTGAATAGTGTCCCCCAACTAAAATGTATGTTGAAATTCTAGCCCCTGGTATCTGCACATGTGACCTTATTTGGAAATAAAGTCTTTGCAAATGTAATTGACTTTTTTGTTTGTTTGCTTGCTCGAGACTGAGTCTTGCTCTGTCACCCAGGCTGGAGTGCAGTGGCATGATCTCGGCTCACTGCAACCTTCACCTCCTGGGTTCAAGCAATTCTCCTGCTTCAGCCTCCCAAGTAGCTGGGATTACAGGCACGTGTCACCATGCCCAGCTAATTTTTGTATTTTCAGTAGAGACGGGGTTTCACCATGTTGGCCAGGCTGGTCTCGAACTCCTGACTTCAAGCGATCTGCCCACCTCAGCCTTCCCAAAGTGCTGGGATTACAGGCACCCTGCCCAGATGTGATTAACTTCTAACCCCTGGTATCTTTGCATGTGACTTTATTTGGAAATAAGGTGTTTTTTTGTTTGTTTTTTGAGACAGAGTTTCACTCTGTGACTCAGGCTGGAGTTCAGTGGCACAATCTCAGCTCACTGAAACCTCTGCCTCCTAGGTTCAAGCGATCCTCCCACCTCAGTCTCCTGAGTCACTGGGACCACAGGCAAGCACCACCACACCTGGCTAATTTTTGCAGTTTTTGTAGAGATGGGGTTTTGCCATGTTGCTCAGGCGGTCTCCAATTGCCACCCTCAAGCAATTCATCCGCCTCGGCCTCCCAGAGTACTGGAATTATAGGTGTAAGCCATGGCGCTTGGCCAGAAAGTCTTTGCAGATTTAGTTAACTTAATGACTAAATGATTCCATGCTGAGTTAGAGTGGGCTCTAAATCCAATGATTGATATGGGGTTATAAGGAGAGATATTTGGAGACATAATCACAGTTCTAGGGAAGGTGGCCATGGGAAGACAGAGGGAGGGATTACAGGGATGCAGCTACAAGCCAAGGAATGGCAGAGATTGCTGGCAGTCCCTCAGAAGCAAAGGAGAGGAAAGGAAGGGTTCTTCCCCCGAGACTTTCTAATTTTTCTTTTTTTTGAGACCGAGTCTCACTGTTGTCAGCTCCAGCTGGAGTGTAATGGTGCGATCTCGGCTCACTGCAACATCTGCCTCCCAGGTTCCAGCAATTCTCCTGCCTCAGCCTCCTGAGTAACTGAGATTACAAGTGCCCACCACCATGCCCGGCTAGTTTTTGCATTTTTAGTAGAGATAGAGTTTCACCCTGTTGGCCAGGCTGGTCTCGAACTCCTGACCTCAGGTGATCCCCCTGTCTCCGCCTCCCAAAGTGCTGGGATTACAGGTGTCAGCCACTGAGACTTTAAAAGCATGGCTCTTCCCCTGACACTTTAAAAGCCTGGCTCTTCCCCTGAGACTTAACACCTTGGTTTTGGACATTTAGCATTCAGAACTGTGGGAGAACAAGTTTCTTGTGTGTGTGTGTGTGTGTGTGTGTTTTCATTTTATTTTATTTATTTATTTATTTTAGACAGAGTCTCATTCTGTTGCCCAGGCTGGAGTGCAGTGGTTCAATCTTGGCTCACTGCAACCTCTGCTTCTCGGATTCAAGCAATTCTCATGCCTCAGCCTCCCGAGTAGCTGGGATTACAGAGGAGCACCACCGCAGCCAGCTATTTTTTTTTATTTTTTATTTTTTGGACTTTTAGTAGAGACAGGGCTTCACTGTGTTGGCTAAGCTGGTCTCAAATTCCTGGCCTCAAGTGATATGCCTGACTTGGCCTCCCAAAGTGCTGGGTTTACAGGTGTGAGCCACCACACCTGGCCTAAGTTTCTGTGTGTGTGTGTAGGATTTTTTTTCTTTTGAGACGGAGTCTCGCACTGTTTCCCAGGCTGGAGTGTAGTGGCGTGATCTCAGCTCACTGCAAGCTCCGCCTCCCGGGTTCACGCCATTCTCCTGCCTCATCCTCCTGAGTAGCTGGGACTACAGGTGCCCGCCACCATGCCCGGTTAATTTTTTGTATTTTTACTAGAGACAGAGTTTCACCGTGTTAGCCAGGGTGGTCTCAATCGCCTGACCTTGTGATCCGCCCGCCTCAGCCTCCCGAAGTGCTGGGATTACAGGCATGAGCCACTGTGCCTGGCTGAGTTTCTGTGGTTTTAAGCCACCTCGTTTGTAAGATTTATGTGTGTGTGTTTTAAATTTTTTATTTTAAATTATTATGGATACATAATAGTTGTGTATATTTATAGGACATGTGTAACGTGGTTTTGGGTTTTAGTGTTTTTTTTTTTTTTTTTAAGACAGAATCTGGCTCTGCTGCCCAGGCTGGAGTGCAGTGGTGAGATCATGGCTCACTGCATCCTTGACCTCCTGGGCTCAAGTGATCCTTCTGACTCAGCTTCCCATGTAGCTAGGACTACAGGCATGCCCCACCACATCCAGCCAATTTTTTTTTTTTAGTAGAGATGAGGTCTCACTGTGTTGCACAGGCTGATCTTGAACTCCTGAGCTCAAGAGATCTTCCTTTCTCACCCTCCCAAAGTACTAGGACTATAGGCATGAGCCACTGTGCCTGTCCTTCCGTGATGTTTTGATATGGGCACACAATGTGTTAGTTTATAAAGTTTGTAATAATTTATCACAGGCTGCCATAGGAAACTAATATAGCTGAGTTTCCTGGTTCTTCTCTATATCACATCTGCTGGGGCTACATGTCCAAGGTGGCTTCTTCACCCACTTGTCTGGTGCCTGGGCTGAGATGGCTGAAACATCTGGGGCTCTATCTCCACATAGCATTTATACGTGAGTAGCCTGGGCTTCCTTACAGCATGGCGGTCTCAGGGCAGTAGTACTTTTACATGGCAACCAGTTTCACCAGAGTGAGCGTTCTAAGATTCAGAAAGTGAGAAATGACAGTTTCTTAAAGCTTGATTCTAGAACACAGCACAGCAAAACTTCCACCACATTCTACTGGTCAAAGCAGTCACAGAGTCACTCATATTCAAGAGGCAGAAGTACAGACCTCACCTCTTTAAGCCACCACAATGACAGGTGGTGATATGTGATTAGAGAAAGCCCTAAACAAGGACCTTGTCCCTCACCTGCCCCCAAATACCAGGGAAGATGTCTTTTTTTTTTTTCTTTTTCTTTTTGAGATAGGGTCTCACTGTGTCATGCTGTGGTGTGATTTTGGTTCACTGCAACCTCCTCCTCCTGGGTTCAAGTGATTCTCCTGCCTCAGCCTTCCGAGTGGCTGGAATTACAGGCACCCACCACCTTACCCGGTTAATTTTTGTAATTTTGGTAGAGACGGGGTTTTGCCATATTGGCCAGGCTGGTCTGAAACTCCTGACCTCGAGTGATCTGCCCACCTTGGCCTCTCAAAGTGCTGGGATTACAGGCATGAGCCACCACAGCCAGCCGAAGATGTCTTATTTTTTTTTCTTCATTAGCCGCAAGGCTTGATGGGGAATGTAATTTTTGTCTCCATGGGTTGCCTTAGCAAATGATGGGAAGAAACATGAATTTTTCAATGTTATGCTCCTAGAGTGCCATTGAAATGGTAGTTCTGGCTCTTTTTCTGACAGTCCTGAGGCATCCTGGAAAATAGAGCCCAGCCTTTATCCCCTGTCCCCAGCACATCAGGGGAAGTGCACTCCTGTCCTTATTCCTCACTGCAGTGCATGCAGGGAGTTCTGGCCATCAGATTATCTTCTACCCGTCTCCTGTCCCAAAGTACACTGGGAAATGTGGGGATGTCTCCTTAGAACAACAAAATAGTTGCAATCTTTGAAGTTTAGGAGACTAGAAGGTTAGTGTTCAGTGTGTGAGCTGGAAGGTTGCATTTGTAAGAATTAAAGAAAGAGGAGGTCAGGCGCGGTGGCTCATGCCTGTAATCCTAGCACTTTGGGAGACCTACGTGGACAGATCACCTGAGGTCGGGAGTTTGAGACCAGCCTGACCAACATGGAGAAACCCCGTCTCTACTAAAAATACAAAATTAGCCAGGTATGGTGGTGCATGCCTGTAATCCCATCTACTTGGGAGACTGAGGAAGGAGAATTGCTTGAACCGGGAAGCAGAGGTTGTGGTGAGCCGAGATTGTGTCATCGCACTTTAGCCTGGGCAACAAAAGTGAAACTTCATCTCAAAGAGAAGAAAAAGAAAACGAAACAGGAAAGAAACATGAAATGTGGCTTGACAGTGAAGGACAGGTTTATTTTAGAGAAAACAAACCTGAGAGGGGCTTTTGGCTGAGTTAAGTTAGAGAGCCCCCCTCCCTTTTTTTTTTTCAGACTAAGGATATTTAGGGGTTTTGGAATGGGGCGCTTATCATAGGTCCAGAATGTTTTTATGTGAGGAAAAGTTTATCGCGGGGTTAGAAAGTCTCTGGTCGGAGGGGAGGCTATCTGGGGGTTGGCATGTTTTTGGTCAGAAAGGGGTTTATCTTAGAGTTGGAATGTTTCTGGTTATGCTGACATTAGCCATTAGGCTGATGTTTTGGGGCTGGATTTAGCCGATTTTTAATCAAGGGGATCTGAGAATGGTGGTGTTTGTTCAAGACGGCGATGCTCTTGCTCTGTCAGCATTTGGAGTCCAGAAATAGATGTGGAGGCAGCCCCCACAAAGACTTCCAAGGTAGGCAGGGGCCTCAAACATGACCCCTGATTCCAGGAGCCTGTGGAAAGGTGTCCCCCACCATTTATCCTCTCAAAGATAGACACTACAAAGAAGGGCAGACCTGGCCTTGTTCACTGATACAAAATCTTTATTTAAGTATAAAATAAATAATATGAATATTAATTAATAACAATGACAACACAACAGCGGCAACAATATTAATAATAACAAGAGCTCTCCCATTGGCCCATGGCCTTCCTCCAGCTTTTGTCTTCTGCTTCACACAACTTTGTGATAGGTGTTTTCACAGCTGGCAAAACTGAGGCTCAGAGAGGTCAGCACACTGGCCTGAGGTCACACAGCAAGTCTGTAGGGCTGGAGCCAAGGGAAGGGCAAGGGGTTCCCTGGATCCAGCCAGGGCAGAGAGGGGGGTTTCAGGTTTAGGTCCAGAGGAGAGTGCCTCCCCACAGTCTGGCAGTCATTAACAGAGTGATGGTGAGGCTGAGATGGGCAGGGCCAGGCTGGGGAGCAGCCCCCTTGCGGTACTGGACATCCAGGTCTGGGTGGTTACAGCCACTTTCAGTACAGCAGGAGACATTGATGTGGTTCATGCTGAAGGCGTCACCCAGGTGGGCACGTTGGCACATTGAGGCGGTTACACAGCCTCTTACCATATAGCTTTGGTTTTTCGGTTCTGAGGAAAGAGAAGACGGAGTGAGACTTCCAGCTCCTGGGCCCAGGACTGGAATTCTCCAGTAGGTGACCTGCCACCTTGCAGTGGGCGCCACCTTCACTACCACCTAGAGAAAGCAGCAGTTCTCAGGGCCAGGTGCGGTGGCTCATGCCTGTAATCTCAACACCTTGGGAAGCCAAGGAAAGAGGATAGCTTGAGCCCAGGAGTTCCAGACTAGCCTGGACAACATACCAAAACTCTGTCTCTACAAACATAAAATAAAAAAGCTGTAGTCCCAGCTACTTGGGAGGCTGAGATGAGAGGATCATTTGAGCCCAGGAGATGGAGGCTGCAGTGAGTTATGATCATGCCACTGCACTTCAGCCTCGGCAACAGAGTGAGACCCTGTCTCAAAGAACAAGCAAAAAAAGAAGAAGAAAGGAAGGCAGGGAAGGGAAGGGAAGGGAAAGGGAGGGGAAAGGGAGGGGAGGGGAGGGAGGGGAGGGAGGAGGGAGAGAGAGAAGGAGGGAAAGAGAGAAAGGAAGGAAAGGAAGAAAAAGAGAGAAAGAAAGAGGAAGGAAGGAAGGAAGGAAGGAAGGAAGGAAGGAAGGAAGGAAGGGGAGGAAAGGAAGCGAGCAGCGGTTCTTAAAGTGTGGCTCAGGGGCCCCTGAGACCCTTTCAGGAGATCTGTGAAATCAAAATGATTCTCATGATAATACTAAAACATGGCTTTTTCACTCTCATGTGTACAATGGACTTTTCCAAAAACTCCAGGACATGTGATATTGCAACAGCCGAGATCGCGCCACTGAATTCCAGCCTAGTGACGGAGCAAGACTCCATTTCAAAAACAAACAAAAAACATTCTCAGTTTTATTTTTATTTTATTTATTTATTTATTTGAGATGGAGTTTCGCTCTTGTTGCCCAGGCTGGAGTGCAATGGCACAATATTGGCTCACCGCAACCTCTGCCTCCCGGGTTCAAGCGATTCTCCTGCATCCGCCTCCCGAATAGCTGGGATTACAGGCAGGTGCCACCACGCTCAGCTAATTTCATATTTTTAGTAGAGACGGGGTTTCTCCATGTTGGTCAGGCTGGTCTTGAACTCCTGACCTCAGGTGATCCACCTGCCTCAGCTTCCCAAAGTGCTACGATTACAGGCGTGAGCCACTGCGCTTGGTTCTCAGTTTTATTTTTAATGTGGCATTTATCTATAGAAATCACTGACATAAACAATAAACAACAATTTTTTTTTGAGACAAAGTCTCACTGTGTCATCCAGGCTGGAGTGCAGTGGGTTGATCCCCACTCACTGCCACCTCCTCCTCCTGGGTTCAAGTGATTCTCATGCCTCAGCTTCCTGGGTGGCTGGGGTCACAGGTGTGGGCTGCCACCATACGCAGATAATTTTGCTATTTTTTTGTAGAGACGGGGTTTCACCATGTTGGCCAGGCTGCTGTCATACTCCCGACCTCAAGTGGTCTTCCACCTTGCCCTCCCAAAGTGCTGGGATTACAGGCGTGAGCCACCACACCTGGCCAACAATACATTTTTTTTTTTTTTTTTTTGAGATGGAGTCTCGCTCCGTAGCCCAGGCTGGAGTGCAGTGGCCTGGATCTCAGCTCACTGCAAGCTCCGCATCCTGGGCTTACGCCATTCTCCTGCCTCAGCCTCCCGAGTAGCTGGGACTACAGACGCCCACTACCTCACCCGGCTAGGTTTTTTTTGTATTTTGTAGTAGAGACAGGGTTTCACCGTGTTAGCCAGGATGGTCTCGATCTCCTGACCTCGTGATCCGCCCATCTTGGCCTCCCAAAGTGCTGGGATTACAGGCTTGAGCCACCGCGCCCGGCCTAAGCCAACAATAATTTTTAAGAGCATAAAGAAGTTGAGACCAAAAAGTTTGAGAACCACTGGAATACAAAGATCTTTCCAGGACGCCACAGGATGAAAGCCTAAGCTGTCTTCAGCAGATCCCCACAACCCATAAGAAATCTTGCCACCAAAGAATTCCACTTTTCTTTCCCTTTTTCTTTTTGTAGAAATGTGGGTCTTGCTATGTTGCCCAGGCTGGTCTCAAACTACTGGCCTCAAGAGATCCTCTGGCCTCAGCCTCCCAAAGTGCTGAGAGTACAGGCTTCAGCCACTGCATCCAGCCAGAATTCCACTTTTCTATGGCAAAAATGTCCGCATCCTGATGGACAAGTCCTAATTCTTTACAACAATATTCACCCACCTGAAGGAAGTCCCACCTTTTCCACAGGGAGACCCACCACAGTTAAGTCCAGCTTAACTGGAAGTCAATCTCTTGCAGAACTCTCCACCCGCAATAAGTGTTCCCTCCCAGCCTCGGAGAGGGCCTCACCGTAAGTGCCGGTGGCTACCAGACATTGATTCATGGGGCCTCGGCAGTCAATGAGGAAAGTCTCTTCAGAGGAGCATCCATGGGTGCTGTTCCCCTTGCAGCTGTAACACTGGTGGCCATTCTGTGGCAGATTTTCAAGCTCCAGGACTTAGGAGAAGACCGAGACACAGAGACCAAGAAAATTAGTGCTTGGATCCCCACTTCCTTGAGTGACCCCCCCAGGACTTCCACTCCGAGCCAGAGATGTCATGGAGCCACCTTGTGGTCAGGCGTCTGAATGGCATTTGGAGCGGGATGGTTTTTGAGTGCTTAAGAGAAACTGCAACTTCGAACTCCCCCAGCCCCATTTCTGGCCAGGCACTGTGCTGGGTGCTGGGTAAGCAACTATGTAAGATGAAACCGTCCTTGCACTCACAGAAGTTACAATTTATTTATTTTTGATACAGAGTCTCACTTTGTTGCCCAGGCTGGAGTGCAGTGGCGCAGTTGTAGCTCACTGCAGCCTCAACCATCCTAGCTCAAGAGATACTTCCACATCAGCCTTCTGAGTAGCTGGGACTACAGGCATGCACCACCATGCCCGGCCGATTTTTCTATTTTTTGTAGAGATGGGGTTTTGACACGTTGCTCAGGCTGGTCTCAAACTCCTGGGATCAAGGAATCTGCCTGCCTCAGCCTCCCAATGTTCTGGGATTACAGATGTGAGCCACTGTACCTGGTCAGAACTTGCAAGTTATTACTATTATTATTACTAAAAAAATTCCTTGAGATGGGGTCTTGCTATGTTGCCCAGGCTTGTCTCAAACTCCTGGCCTCAGGTGATCTTCCCACCTCCGCCTCCAAAAGTGCTGAGATTACAGGTGTGAGCCACTGTGCCCAGCCAGAATTTACAATTTAGAGCTACACTTCCCAATCTGGTAGCCACTGGCCACATGTGGTTGTTTACATTTAAATAAATTAATATTAAATCGAATCTTAAAATTCAGTTAGCATTTCAAGTGCTCACTGACCACATACAGTGGTGGCTGTAATATTGGACAGGACAGATATGGAACATTTCCATCTGTTGACAGTTGCTGGGTAATAAAGACAGGGATCTAGATTACACTGGAGGGGAGGGACAGTGAAAGCATCCCTGAAGATGACACATTAAAGCTGAGGCTTAATGGATGAGAAGTTGCCAGCAGGGTGAGCCCTTGGGGAAGGCGTGTTCCAACAGAGGATACTGCATATGCAAGGGCTATGAGGCCAGATGGGTTTTGGTGGTTATAGAAGCCAAATGAACGTCAGCACAGTGGCTCATGCCTGTAATCCCAGCACTTGGGGAGGCCGAGGCAGGAGAATCGCTTGAACCTGGGAGGCGGAGGTTGCAGTGAGCCAGGATTACTCCACTGCACTCCAGCCTGGCTGACAGAGTGAGACTCCATCAGAAAAGAGAGAGAGAGAGAGAGAGAGAGAGAAAGGAAGGAAGGAAGGAAGGAAGGAAAGAAAGAAGAGAGAGAGGGAGGGAGGAAGGGAGAGAAGAAGGAAGGAAGAAAGAAGAAAGAAAGAGAAAGAAAGAAAGAAAGAAAAAAAGAGAAAGAAAGGAAGGAAGGAAAGAAAGAAGAGAGGGAGGGAGGAAGGGAGGGAGGAAGGAAGGAAAGAAGAAAGAAAGAAAAAGAAAGAAAGAAAGAAAGAAAGAAAGAAAGAAAGAAGGAAGGAAGGAAATAAAAGAAAGAAAGAAAGAAAGAAAGAAAGAAGAAAGAAAGAAAGAAAGAAAGAAAGAAAGAAAGAAAGAAAGAAAGAAAGAAAGAAAGAAAGAAAGAAAGAAAATAAATGAAGGTCAGGCACAGTGGCTCATGCCTGTAAAAAGAAAGAAAGAAAGAAAGAAAGAAAGAAAGAAAGAAAGAAAGAAAATAAATGAAGGTCAGGCACAGTGGCTCATGCCTGTAATCCCAGCACTTGGGGAGGCCGAGGCAGGAGAATCGCTTGAACCTGGGAGGCGGAGGCTGCAGTGAGCCAAGATCACGCCACTGCACTCCAGCCTGGCTGACAGAGCGAGACTCCATCTCAAAAGAAAAAAAAAAAGAAAAAAAAGAAACTAAATGAAGGTCAGGCACAGTGGCTCATGCCTGTTATCCCAGCACTTTGGGAGGTCAAGGCAGAAGGATTGCTTGAGCCTGGGAGTTTGATACCAGCCCGGGAAATATAGTGAGACCCCATCTCTACAAAGGTTTTAAAATTTAGCTGGGTGCAGCTGGGCACGGTGGCTCACACCTGTAATCCCAGCACTTTCGGAGGAGAGGCGGGCGGATCACAAGGTCAGGAGATCGAGACCATCCTGGCTAACATGGTGAAACCCCGTCTCTACCAAAAATACAAAAAAATTAGCCGAGTGTGGTGGCAGGCGCCTGTAGTCCCAGCTACTCCAATGGCTTAGGTGGGAGGAACTCCTGAGCCCAGGAGTTTGAGGCTGCAGCGAGCCATGATCATGCCAGTGCACTCCAGCCTGGGTGACAGAGTGAGACCCTGTCTCCCCCATACCCCTCCCCCCAAAAAATCGCTCGCTGCTGGGTTGAACCTTGGCTGTATGGTGGCAGGAGTGGAAGCAGGGAGACCAGAGAGGAGGTCATTGCAACAACCTGGGCAAGAAGTCAGCGTGGCTCAGCCCAGGTAGTGGCAGTGGAGGTGGGGAGGAGTGGGAAAATTTGAAAGAGACAAAAATGACAGGAAGCTCAGGTCTTGGCAAGGGCTGATAGACAGTATCATTGAATTCTTACAAAATTCTTCTTTCGAAGAAAAGCCTGGCCGGGCACAGTTGCTCATGCCTGTTATCCCAGCACTTTGTGAGGCTAAGGCAGCCAGATCACTTGAGGTCAGGAGTTCGAGACCAGCCTGGCCAAAATGGTGAAACCCCTATCTCTACTAAAAATACAAAACTTAGCTGAGCGTGGTGGTGGGCACCTGTAATCCTAGCTACTCAGGAGGCTGAAGCAGGAGAATCGTGAACTCGTGAGCGAAGGTTACAGTGAGCGGAGATCAATCCATTGCACTCCAGCCTGGGCAACAGAGTGAGATTCCATCTCAAAAAAAAGAAAAAAGCCGGCCGGGCGCGGTGGCTCAAGCCTGTAATCCCAGCACTTTGGGAGGCCGAGACGGGCAGATCACGAGGTCAGGAGATCGAGGCCATCCTGGCTAACACGGTGAAACCCCGTCTCTACTAAAAAGTACAAAAAACTAGCCGGGCGAGGTGGCGGCGCCTGTAGTCCCAGCTACTTGGGAGGCTGAGGCAGGAGAATGGCGTGAACCCGGGAGGCGGAGCTTGCGGTGAGCAGAGATCTGGCCACTGCACTCCAGCCTGGGTGACAGAGCCAGACTCCGTCTCAAAAAAAAAAAAGAAAAAAAAAAAAGGGCTGATACTGCCATTTTTCAGAAAAGGAAACAGAGGCCCCAGAGAGGAGTCGATTGCCGGAGAGTGACTGCGCAGCTGTCTGCCTGAGTGCATGCTCCTGCCCAACACCAGGCCTTGCCTGTGTCTCCCGTTCCTTACTTGGGCCCTCGTTGCATTTGGTGGTGTTGCAACACTTCAGGAAGTGGAAGGTGTCATTGTTGTGGAAACCATTGGAGCCTGGGCAGCCGGGAAGGTAGCCACAGCCTCGGAGGTGGCGGTCATCCTTTGGACGCCCTGTGGGGGCCAGGGAACAGAGGTCAGATGTCAGATTGTGAATGAGGGACTGAGATGGGATTTGCCCGCAATAGCAGGCATTCAACCATTCACTACTTCACCCTTCATCACAGGACCCTCATTTTATCTAGGACAGTCATAGATCTTGTCAAAAACTACATATTCTAGCCTCTCTAGGTACAGTCATGAAGCCTCTCTAGGTACAGTGATGAAGTTCGGACCAATGTGATATAAATAGAAGTGCTTTCTGGGACTTCCAGAAAGGAGAACACTTACAAAAGGAGCAGTGCCCCCTTTTTTGTTCCTTCTTTCCTTCTTCCTCCTTCCTGGAACTTAGATGTGAGACCCGGAGCTCCAGCAGCCATTTTGGACCATGAGGCATTTTGAGAATGGAAGTGATGTGTAAGAAACAAGAAGGTGGCTGGGCATGGTGGCTCACGCTAGCAATCCCAGCACTTTGGGAGGCTGAGGCAGGTGGATCACAAGGTCAGGAGTTCGAAACCAGCCTGACCAACATGGTGAAACCCTGTCTCTACTAAAAATGCAAAAATTAGCCAGACGTAGTGATGCACATCTGTAATCCCAGCTACTCAGGAGGCTGAAACAGGAGAATTGTTTGAACCTGGGAGGCGGAGGTTGCAGCAAGCCGAGATCATGCCATTGCACTCCAGCTGGGCGACAGAGAGCGAGACTCCATCTCAAAAAAAAAAAAAAGAAAGAAAGAAAGAAACGAGAAGGCATCTGGGTTCTTGGTGACTCTAGAACTGTCCTTGTGGCCCTGGACCTCTTGTGTATGAGAGAACTTAGTCCCTTGCTGACATCCCTGTTACTCTGAGGTTGTTAAATGCAGTCTTGGGGAGGAGCAGAATAGGGAGGAGGAGTTGCCGTCAGGTTGGGGCTCACCTTCTTCACCCTCCTGGATCCAGTGGGTCACCATATCCAGGCACTGTTCTTCAGGGCTGCGGCATTGCAGGCTCTGGTGCCGGCCCCTCTCACAGCTCATGTCTGATGAGCCACAGGAAATGCATTCAAGGTAACGGCTTCGGGAAAAGGTGACAGCCCGGCCTGTTTGGAAGACGGGGAAGGGAGTGAGACTCCATGGGGACAGTCCTGGAGCCCCAGCTCTGCAAGGACTCACTGGGCATCAATTCCTCCTTATCCCACCCTGCAGCCAGTTACTGAGCCCTGTCTATTCTGCCTGCTGAATCTTTCTAGAATCCACGCCCTCCTTTCCAGCCCCATGGACCAGTCCAGCTCAGACCTCCTTCAACTCCAGCTACCTCCCTAGCCTCTGGGTTTCCATTCTTGTCACCCCCTACTCACCCCAGTGCAGCATTTCCACATGGCCCTAGAAGGATATTTCCTTCCCGTTTTTTTTTTTTTTTTTTTCCTGAGACAGAGTCTCATTCCATCACCCAGGCTGGAATGCAGTGGCGCCATCTTGGCTCACTGCAACCTCCACTCCCTGGGTTCAAGTGATTCTCCTGCCTCAGCCTCCCAAGTAACTGGGACTACAGGCGTGCATCACCATGCTGGGCTAATTTTTGTATTTTTAGTAGAGACAGTAGTAGAGCTGGTCTTGAACTCCTGACCTCAAGTGATCTACCTGCTTCGGCCTTCCAAAGTGCTGGGATTACAGGCATGGGCCACTGCACCCGGGCCCTTAGAAGGGTATTTCTAATACTCATATTTGACCCTGTCTCTTCTCTCCTCAAGACTCTTCCATAGCTCCCTACTGCCCTCAAAATAAAATCCAAGATCCTCAGCATGGGATTCAAAGCCCATCAAATACTGGGGCCTGAGCACCTCTCCTGCCTCATCTCCCTCCACTACACCCTCAGACTCTACTCCACACTGACTTCCCACAGTCCATGGCTACACATGTTGCCTGCCATTCTTGCCTTTGCATATGCCGTTGTCTCTGTCTAGAACACCTTTCCTTTGCTCTCTGCTTTCCCTCACTCCTACTCATTCTTCAGGTGTCAGCTCCAATTTCACCTCCTCTGGGAAGCCCTTCCTGATCCACCAGGCTGGAGCAGCTCCCACACACCCCTGGACTCCCGCATCCCACTCTGGGTGGTCACTGTCTGGTGACAGGTATGTCTCCTCTACTGGACTGTGAGCCCCAGGAGGGCAGGGCCAGGGGCTGTCTTGATCACTACTGTGTCCCAGCACCACCTGGCACAGGGCCAGGGACAGGTAAGATATTCAATACATATTTGTTCAATGAATGAATGAATGAGGAATTACTTAAAACCCTTCTATTGTTCTCTGTGGTAGCCTGTCTCCAAAATGGCCCCCATTAATCTCTGCTCCCTGGTATTCATGCCCTTAAAGAATAGGGCTGGCTGGGTGCAGCGGCTCATGCCTGTAATCCCAGCACTTTGGGAGGCCGAGGTGGGAGGACTGCTTGAGTCCGGGAGTTTGAGATCAGTCTGGGCAACATAGCAGGACTCTGTCTTTAAATTAAAAACAAAAAAAGAAAAAAGAATAAGGATGCCCTACGTAGTCAACTGGATATTATGGAAATGATGGTGTGTGCCTTCTGTGGCTAGATCATAGAACACATGGCAATTTCTGCTTGGCTGTCTCTCTTGGGTCATCTTTTCTGGGGGAAGCAGCAGCCATGTTGTGAGGACACTCAAGTAGCACCATGGGGAAGTTCATGTGGCAGAACTGAGGCCTGTGCCAAAGCCATGGGAGGGGAGCATTCATGTGAGTGAAGCTACCTTAGGAGCCTTCAGATGACTGTAACCCCAGCTGACATCTTGACTGCAGGCTCATGAAGGATCCTAAGCCAGAACCACCTAGCTAAGCCGCTCCAGGGTTTTTGACCTTCAGAAACTTTGTGAAATAACGCATGCTTATTTTATTGCTGCAATCTGTAATGCAGCAATAGAGAATAGATAAACAATCGATAATACACTACCTAATTGTCCCAGGGATCAAAGAGTCACTTGACTGATTCCTGATCACTTTGCCTTTTGCACGAACCTTGTGGTGTTGGCCAACTGGATCCATTACTTTTCCCTGGAAACACCAGAGTCATTCCTCTGCCCAGCCCTTGGCTCACACCATTTCCCATGCTTGGCATGCACTCCCTGTCCTGACCCAAGACACATCTAAGCTGAGTCCAAGCCAAGTCTTAAAAAAGTGAGAGGACCATGTCAGCCAAGGCTCTCAACTGGCAGGCCGCTAGCTGTAATTAGGCGAATCATTTACATCCAAAGCCCAATCATCCCCCTCAAAGAAAAATAACTACAAGGCCACCCATGTCTTCTCATACAAACTTCCATGAAAATGAAAACACAAATTCTCATCATTGCCAAAATAGCTGTTCACACCTAGAACGCCTTTTCCTTGTGCCCTACTTTCTCTAACTCCTACTCATTCTTCAGCTGTCATCTTCAATTTTACTTCCTCTAGGAAGCCCTCCCTGACCCGTCAGCCTGGAACAGGTACCTTCTCTGAGCTCCCACTGCCCCCTGAATTCCCCATTTCTAGTTCTGCCCACTCTGGGTGGTCACTCACGGGTCTCCTGTGTGAACTCTTTTTATGCCACTCTTCTAAATGCCAGTGATCCTCAGGGGTATTTTCTTTTCTTTTCTTTTCTTTTCTTTTTTTGAGATAGGATCTTGCTATGTCCCCAAGGCTGGAGTGCAGTGGCACAATCATGGCTCACTGCCACCTCGACCTCCCTGAGCTCAGGTGATTCTCCCATCTCAGCCTACTGAGTAGCTGGGACTATAGGCGTGTGCCAGTACACCTGGCTAATTTTTGTATTTTTTGTAGAGACAAGGTCTTGCGATGTTACCCAGGCTAGTCTCAAACTCCTGGACTCAAATGATCCTCTCGCTTCGGCCTCCCAAAGTGCTGGGATTACAGACGTGAGTATGGCACCTGGCCAGGGCTCTGATTTAAGCCCTTTTTATTTCTCACAGTATAGACTATTTCATGGGGTAAATATTGAAATGACTTCATTTCCATCTATCTGCTCATCACTCACAAATCTCTCTCTAGTCCAGGCTTCTCTCTGAGCTCCAGACCTGTACATGCAACTGTCTCTTCAAGGCCCCATGGCTATACCTCAAACACCTGTCCCAAACAGAACTCCCCATCTTCTCCCACAACTGCTCTTTTTCTTGAAGTCCATGCGTCCAAGGCGGCCCCATCCAGTCCCTAGGGCGGAACCTGGCAGACCCCTTGGTCTTCCACATCTGTGGATCAATCCACATGCTTCTACTGTTCCATCTTCTAGCTCTTTAATCCTTTTGCTCTGCTGTTTCTGACCTCTATCAAGCATAACTGCAGAGTTCTTCATTTGAGTCACTGTTCTATATTTTCTGTTGGACTCTTAAAAAATGGATTCATTGGCCGGGTGCGGTAGTTCATGCCTGTAATCCCAGCACTTTGGGAAGCTGAGGCGGGCAGATCACGAGGTCAAGAGATTGAGACCATCCTGGTCAACATGGTGAAACCCTGTCTCTACTAAAACACAAAAATTAGCCAGACATGGTGGCAGGCGCCTGTAGTCCCAGCTACTTAGAAGGCTGAGGCAGGAGAATTGCTTGAACCCGGGAGGCGGAAGTTGCAGTGAGCCAAGATCATGCCACTGCACTCCAGCCTGGCAACAGAGTGAGATTTCGTCTCAGAAAAAAAAAAAAAAAAAAAAAGGATTCCAGGTGTTAAAATGTACCCATTCTTCTGTTTTCCTGAATATATTGATTGTAGCAATTTTCATGTTTCCTGTCCTATAATCCAATATCTGAATCACTACAATTCTGTTTCTATAGTTGGATTTTTCTCTTGGTTTCTGGTCAATTGGTCCTTTTTGTTTTCTTCAGGATATCTTGTAAGATTTTGTTGTTGTTGTTGTTTATTTTTTGTTTTGTTTTGTTTTGAGACAGAGTCTTGCCCTCTTGCCCAGGCTTGAGTGCAATGGTGCGATCTCGGCTCACTGCGACCTCCTTATCCCGGGTTCAAGCGATTCTCCTGCCTCAGCCTCCCAAGTAGCTGGTATTACAGGTGTGCGCCACCATACTCGGCTAATTTTCACCATACTCAGCTAATTTTTTTTTTTTTTTTTTTTTTTGTATCTTTAGTAGAGAAGGGGTTTCACCATGTTGGCCAGGCTGGTCTTGAACTTCTGACCTCCTGATCCGCCCATCTCGGCCTCCCAAAGTGTTGGGATTAAAGATGTGAGCCACCGTGCCCAGTCTGGTTTTTTTTGTTTGTTTTTTTTTTAAGATGGGGTCTTTCTATGTTGTTCAGGCTGGTGTGCAGTGGCTATTCATAGGCATAATCCTGCTACTGAAAAGCACAGGAGTTTTGACCTGCTCCATTTCTGAGCTGGGCTGCTTCAACCCCTCCTTAGACAACCTGGTAGTCCCCTGCTCCTGGGAGATCACCATATTGATGCCAAACTTAGTTCAGACACCCTATTGATATAGCACATTACAGCCCAGAACTCTCATGCTCAAGTAATCCTTCCAAGTAGCTGGGATTATAGACGCATGCCACCATGCCTCGCTATCTTGTAAATTTTGATCAGATGCCATGCCAGACATTATAGACAAAAATCTGTCAAGGGCCTAAACGATGTTTTCTTCTTCCACAGAGAGTCAGGTTTTCATTCCTGTCAAGTATTGGACCTAGGCTTGTTTAGGGCTCGTCTATTTCACTTTGGCCTTTACCCCTAGGGTAGTCTTAGGGGGGAAAGCCTGAGATGCCTACCAAGGCCTCTCCAGCTTGGCAACCTGTGTCCCCAGCATCACATGTCTGCTGGAAGCCTTGTTCGCTTTTGTAGCTTCCCAGTTGCTATTTTTCTCTTCCAAGTTTCTTGGACTCTCACCCTGTGCATGTACAGCTTGCCAATGACTTGAGGGAGATTTGTTTGCAGGTTGGGAACTCCCTTTTCTGTGGTCCCATCCATTCCAGGATTTTAACTCTCATCTTCTAGACATTCTGGCAGCCCCAAACTCCAACCTCCGTCTTCTCAGTCTAGCGACTCTCTTTCTGTCTGGGCTCTATTTCCCTTCCACAGCAGCAGATTGGCAAGTGCACTCCGGGAAAAAGCCAGGTTGTCTGTGGAACCCAAATTCTATGCTTCCCTTATTTCAGAGGTTGTAGTGCCTCAAGTTTCTCCTTTCTTTCTTTCTTTTTTCTTTTTGAAATGGAGTCTTGCTCTATTGCCCAGGCTAGAGTACAGTCGTGTGATCTTGGCTCACTGTAACCTCTACCTCCCAGGTTCAAGCAATTCTTGTGCCTCAGCCACCCAAGTAGCTGGGACTACAGGCATGTACCACCACGCCTGGCTAACTTTTGTATTTTTAGTAGAGACGGGGTTTCACCATGTTGCCCAGACTGGTTTTGAACTCATGAGCTCAAGCGATTTACCTGGTCTCCCAAAGTGCTGGGATTACAGGCATGAGCCACTTCGCCCGGCCAAGTTTCTCCTTTCATTTGCTGCTCTCCAGTGACTTCTAATAATTGTTTATTATTTGTCCAGCATTTGCAACTGTCATTGGCAGAAGGGTTGGTCTGATACAAGTGACTCCATCATGACCAGAATTGCAGGTCCCCTCCCACATTTAATCTACCACTAAGGCCTGCTTCTAAATAGCTCTTTTTTGGCCTTTGTTGAGACAGGGTTTTTCTCTGCTGCCCAGGCTGGAGTGCAGCGGTGTGATCACTGCAGCCTCCAGCTCCTGGGCTCAAGCAATCCTCCTGCCTCGGCCTTCCAAAGTGCTGGGATTACAGGCGTGCGCCACTGTGCCTAGCCTGAACAGCTCTTAAATCTATCCACTTCTCTTCCTCTGCATATCTGACACCCTTCTCCACCTGGACAACCTCACCCACCCCCAGGTTGGTTTCCTGTCATCTACTCTTGCTTCCTTTCAATCTATCTTCTGTCCTGAGGTCAGAATAATTTGTTAAAAATATAAATGAGGGCCGGGTGCAGTGGCTCACATCTGTAATCCCAGCACTTTGGAAGGCTGAGGCAGGCAGATCACGAGGTCAAGAGTTCAAGACCAGCCTGGCCAACATGGTGAAACCCCATCTCTACTAAAAATACAAAAAAAATTAGTTGGGCATGGTGGCGGGTGCCTGTAGTCCCAGCTACTTGTTAGGCTGAGGCAGGAGAATCGCCTGAACCTGGGAGGCAGAGGTTGCAGTGAGCTGAGATCGCACCATTACCCTCTAGCCTGGGCAAAAAGAGCGAAACTCCATCTAAAAAAAATAAAATAAATAAATGTGATCATGACATTCGCTGTTTAAAACCTTCTGTGATGCCCCAGTGCTCCCAGGACGACGTCAAGAAGCCCCTGTGTAACATGCTCCTGTCAAGCTTTCCAGCTCATCTCGTTCCACTGTTTCCTTCGTCCAGCCACACTGCTTTTGGCCACCTTTGTATCTGTTGCTCCCTCTGCTGGACTACTGGAAAACCCTTTCCACTGTCCTTTTTTTTTTTTTTTTTTTTTAACAGGATCTCACTCTGTCACCCAGGCTAGGGTACAGTGGTGCGATCATAGCTTACTGCAGCCTCCACCACCTGAGCTAAAGTGATCCTCCTGCCTCAACCTCCCAAGGAGCTGGGATCACAGGCATATGCCATCACGTCTGGCTAATTTTTGTATTTTTGCATTCTTTGTAGAGTCATGTTGCCTAGGCTGGTCTGGAACTCCTGGGCTGAAACAGTCCTCCCACTTGGGCCTCCCAAAGTGTTGGGATTACAGGCATGAGCCACCGCACCCGGCCTCTACTGGCTGTTTAATAGTCTGATTCCTACTCATCCTTCAAGATCCAGCTTAGCTGTTGCTTCCCCTAGGAAACCTTCCCTGACCTGAGTCAGGTGTCTCCTCTAGGGTCCCATAGCCCCTACTCTTCCCTCATCCCAGCCCTGAACCCTCTGCCTGTGTTTCCCCCTTCCTAGCCCAGACTAATCTATTAGGTTGGTGCAAAAGTAATTGTGGTTTCTGCCTTTGCTTTTAATGGCAAAAGCCGCAATTACTTTTGCATTAACCTAATAATCAGTCACCGTCTGGTGATGGGTCTGTCACCCCTATACACACACACACACACACACAGGACTGTGAGTCCCATGGAGTCAGGCAGTGTGGGGAAAATAGACACAGTAACAGGCTGCTCTCTCTTTCTTTTCCCCACAAGGCAGGGCACAAGGCTGTCTTGGTCCCTGCTGTGTCCCCAGCATCATATAAGTACTGAGTGCAGTTTAACCAACTATTCAAGTTGCCACAAGCAGGGTACAATGGCATTATAAATGGGGATGAGGCTGGGCGCAGTGGCTCACGCCTATAATTCCAGCACTTTGGGAGGCTGAGGCGGGCGGATCACCTGAGGTGGGGAGTTCAAGATCAGCTTGACCAACATGGAGAAACCTCATCTCTACTAAAAGTACAAAATTAGCTGGGCGTGGTGGTGCATGCCTGTAATCCCAGCTACTTGTGAGGATGAGGCAGGAGAATCGCTTGAACCCGGGAGGCGGAGGTTGTGGTGAGCCGAGATCATGGCATTGCACTCCAGCCTGGGCAACAAGAGTGAAACTCCATCTCAAAAAAAAAAAAAAAAAAAAAAAAAAAAAAAGGGAAAAGAAAAGAAAAGAAATAGGGAGGATATAGGTATCTCAGTTATTAGATTACTGAATTGACAGCTGCTGCTCCAAGCTCCTGGTGGACCCCAACCACTCCCAACTCTCTCCCCAGGACCCTTCATGTCCCTGTGACACATCATGGAAAGGGGTAACACCAGGCCCAGCAGGGGACTCCAGGAGTTTGTCGCGGCACTGATCAATATTTTTAAATATTTTCACTATCATCTCTGATTGAATGCACTACTTAGACCCAAGTATTGGTGCTTTCCTTAAGCGCATCTCACTGAGACAGGAAGCCCACATCCTCTCTTGTCACTTCCTCAAAACAAACATCTGATTTGGCCCCGCCAACAGATTAGTGTTTGAGGACAGGATGGATGAAAACCAGGCAGAATCAGGAAGAGTGAAGAACAAAGAAAACCCAGTGCAAACTCAGCCCTCTGCTCACTGCCTCACCGTGACTAGACTGGCCTTACCCTATTTCCTTCCTCACTAGGTCCAGAAAGAGGAATCTCTTTCACAGATGGATCCATGCACCGTGGACCCATTCATTCCCCACCCTTCCTCTCCTGTGGGAATTTAGGAGAATTTGACCTTTTCCAAGTCTTTTTCTTAAAATGATCAGAGCCTGAAGCGATGGAATTTGACAAAGGGGCTTATGGATATTTCTTTTTCTTTCTTTCTTTCTTTTCTTTCTTTCAGACAGGGCTTATGTCTCTTTCTCTGTTTCTCTTTCTTTCTCCTTCCTTCCTTCCTTTTTCTCTTTCTCTTTCTTTCTCTCTCTTCTTTCTTTCTCTCTCTCTCCTTCCTTCCTTCCTTCCTTCCTTCCTTCCTTCCTTCCTTCCTTCCTTTCTTTCTTTCTTTCTTTCTTTCTTTCCTTCCTTCCTTCCTTCCTTCCTTCCTTCCTTCCTTCCTTCCCCTTCCTTTTGTCTTTCCTTCTTTGTGTCCCTTCCTTCCCTTCTCTCTTTCTTTCTCTCTTTCTGTCTCTCTTTCTTTCGTTCTTCTTTCCTTTCTGACAGGGTCTCACTCTGTTGCCCAGGCTGGAGTGCAATGGCATGATCACAGCTCACTACAGCCTTGATCTGCCAGGCTCAAATAATCCTCCCACCTTAGCCTCCTGGATAGCTAGGACTACAAGTGTGTACTACTATGTCCGGCTACTTTTTGTTTATTTTTTGCAGAAACTGGGTCTCACTATGTTGCCCAGGCTGGTCTTAAACTCCTGGGCTCAAGCAGTTCTCCTGCCTTGGTCTCGCAAAGCGCTTGGATTACAGGCGTGAGCCACCACATCCAGCCTGTTATGGACATTTCTTCACATTTTTTTTTTTTTCACTGCCCAAGCCAGAGACCATCTATTGCAGAGGATTCTCCCAGCCTACTGTGGCCCATTTAATCCTCCCCTCTTTTGACTTCCCTTAAGAACATCAAGTCTTTGCTTGAATTCTGGCCCCTCAGTATCTATTGCTTGGACCATCTCCCATCCCAATGGATTGGGTAGGACCATCTCCTGCCCAGTCAGATGGACAAACATCATTGAGACATCTCATCTATGTCTCATGCACATGTGTGAGCTTGTCAAGGGCAGAGTTGCAAGTTATACCTAACAACCATATATACAAACATGCAGGATGGGGATTGGGTTAAGGATGAAAGTAATTGTGTCATTGGGGTGGGGATTTGGATAGTCTGAGATGAGGATGGGGTTGATTTGGGGATGGGGCTGGAACTGTGTTTGGAACAGGGCTGAGTTTGAGTTGGGAACAGTGTTGGGGTAACATGAAGTTGGGGATAGGATTGAAGGTGAAGCTGAGTTGGGGTTGGATATTGGGTCAAGAATGGGTTGGGGATGGGGCTGAGCTAGAGATGGGTTGGGTTGGGATTGGGACTTGGATAAGGCATGGAGTTGGGGTTCAGCTAATGTAAAGTTAAGAGTAGGATTGGGATGATGATGAGGTTGAGCTGGGCATGGCTTGGGGTTGGGGATGGCAAGGGCTGCCGTACTCACCAGAGTTGCCCTGGTTGCACAAGTCTAACCCACACACAACCTCGGTAAGGCTGGTGATCTTCAAGCCAGTCCGATAGCTCATGGTCCTGTTGGTCTTCTCTGAGTGGGTACAGCTTTTCTCCACCAGCTCCAGCTCTTCCCCTTCTGCAAAGAGGGGATCTTCATTACCACAGAGGCTCCTCTCAGCCCAACCAGTCTCTGACAGTCCTGGTCTCAAGGTCACCCGCTCCCAGGGCTGATTTTTGGTAGGCCTCTTCTCTTGTTTGAGTCCAACTCTGTCTTTTTCTAGAGTTAACCTTGACTCTACCCCCATTCCAACAAGGAGCCTGCTCTATTTTATTTTAATTAATTTTTATTTTTATTTTTTTTCCGGGAGACAGGGTCTTGCTCTGTCACCCAGGCTGGAGTGCAGTAGCAAGATCTCAGCTCACTACAACCTCTGCCTCATGGATTCAGGTGATTCTCCTGCCTCAGCCTCCCAAGCAGCTGGGACTACAGGCATATGCCATCACACTTGGCTAATAATTAATTAATGTTTTAAGAGACAAGGTATTGGCCAGGTGTGGTGGCTCATGCCTGTAATCCCAGCACTGGGAGGCCAAGGTGGGCAGACCACGAGGTCAGGAGATCGAGATCATCCTGGCTAACACAGTGAAACCCCGTCTTTACCAAAATGTTTTTTGCATTTTGCAAAAATGCAAAAAACACCAGGTGTGGTGGCGGGCACCTGTAGTCCCAGTTACCTGGGAGGCTGAAACAGGAGAATCACTTGAACACGGGAGGCAGAGGTTGCAGCGAGCTGAGACTGCACCACCGCACTCCAGCCTGGACGACAGATTGAGACTCCATCTCAAAAAAAAAAGAAAAGAAAGAAAAGAAAAGAAAAAAAAAGAGACAGGGTATCACTCTGTCACTCAGGCTGGAGTGCAGTGGTGCAATCATAGCTCACTGCAACCTTGACCTCCCAGGCTCAAGCAATCCTGCCTCCTCAGCCTCCCGAGTAGCTGGGACCACAGGCTTACATCACCACGCTCTGCTAATTTTTAAATTTCTCATAGAGATAGCATCTCACTATGTTGCCCAGGCTGATCTCGAACTCCTGGCCTCAAGTGATCCTCCCACCTTGGCCTCCCAAAGTGCTGGAATTACAGGTGTGAGCCACTGTGCCCCAGTCCTGCTCTTCTAGTGACAGCACTACCCCTGGGACTTTCTGGATCCATCTGTCCCTCCCCCACACCCTCAGCTTAGTGATCTCAGTAGTGAGATGCCTCTAATAGAACTTTATTTTATTTATTTTTGTATTTATGTATTTATTTTTTAGAAACAGCTCTCTGTTGTCCCAGCTGGGGCAATCATAGTTCACTGCAACCTCGAACTTCCGGGTTCAAGGAATCCTTCTGCCTTAGCCTTCTGAGTAGCTAGGGGTACAAACGTGAGCCACCGTGCTTGCTTTTATATACTGTTGTTTCTTGTGTTCTTAAAGTTTATATACAAACGTATCATATTCTGCAACATTTTTTTACCTCTCAACCCTAGGTTTCTAAGATGTGTCCACATTGGTATCTGCAGCTCTATTTCCTTCTTTAAACTGCGGTAGAGAGCTCCATTATGTAATTTTTTTTTTTTTTTTGAGATGGAGTCTCGCTCTGTCACCCAGGCTGGAGTGCAGTGGCACTATCTTGGCTCACTGCAAGCTCTGCCTCCCGGGTTCACACCATTCCCCTGCCTCAGCCTCCCGAGTAGCTGGGACTACAGGCGCCTGCCACCACGCCCGGCTAATTTTTTTTTTGTATTTTTAGTAGAGATGGGGTTTCACCATGTTAACCAGACGGTCTCGATCTCCTGACCTCGTGATCCACCGGCCTCAGCCTCCCAAAGTACTGGGATTACAGGTGTGAGCCACCGTGCCTGGCCCCATTATGTAATTATTGCCACAGTGTTTGTCTTCTGCTGCTGACTTGCTGACTGACTTAAAGTCATTTCCATTTTCTTCTTTTCTTTCTTTCTCCCCTTCCTTCTTTCCTCTCTCCTCTCTCCCTCCCTTCCTCCCTTCCTTTCTCTTTCTTTCTTTCCTTTCTTCCCTTCCCTTCCTCTTTCTTTCTCTCTCTCTTTATTTATTTATTTCTTTTTTTCTTGAGATGGAGTTTCGCTCTTGTCACCCAGGCTGGAGTGCAATGGCATGATCTCAGCTCGCTGTAACCTCCGCCTCCTGGGTTCTAGCAATTCTCCTGCCTCAGCCTCTCGAGTAGCTGGGATAACTGGCACCCAACACCACACCTGGCTAATTTTTGTATTTTTTAGTAGAGACAGGGCTTCACCATGTTGGCCAGGCTGGTCCTGAACTCCTGACTTCAGGTAATCTACCTGCCTCAGCCTCCCAAAGTGCTGGGATTACAGGCATGAGCCACCACGCCCGGCCCATCTTTCTCTCTTTTGTTCATTTTTTTGACAGGGTCTCGCTCTGTTGCCCAGGCTGGAGTGCAGTAGCATGATCTCAGCTCACTGCGACCTCCGCCTCCCAGGTTCAAGCAATTCTCCTGTCTCAGCCTCCCAAGTAGCTGAGATTACAAGTGCATGCCACCACACCCGGCTAATTTTTCCTTTTTTTTTTTTTTTCTGTAGAGATGGGTGTTTCACCATGTTGGCCAGGCTGGTCTTGAACCCCTGACCTCAAGCAATTCATCTGCCTCTGCTTCCCAAAGTGCTGGGAATACAGGTGTGAGCCAGTGCCCGGCCTGTTTCCAATTTTCCATGTCACAAACATTGCTGCTAAGAACATTCTTATACATGTGTCCCTGGGTATATGTGGCCAAGGTTCTTTGGCATTTCTGCATGCTGAGGAGTTGAGCTGTAGCATATGCTAATCTTCTTCTGGACTAGATATTGCCAAATCGCTCTAGGTGGTTGATGTGCCAATTTACTCCCCCACCACAGACACGGTCTGCAACTCCACATCCTTACTAACCCGGGTATTGTCAGATTTTTAAAGGCTTGCCAGTCTGGTGGGTGTGAAATGGGCTCTCCTTGTTTGTTTGTTTGTTTGTTTTTGGTTTGCATTTCCCAGTTACGGGTGAAGAAGGTTTCTCAATCACTCGCGTTCCATGCTGCGCTGGAGGGGTGTGTGTGGGGAGGGAAGCTCACCTTCCCACATGCGCACGATCGTGGTCCTGCAGAGGTCCTGTCCTAGGGCGCACTCTTCTACCCGGCAATCGCCGTTGCTCTTACATTGCATGCACCGCAGGCCCCAAGAGGCTGGGAGCAGGAGGGAGAGGAGAGGAGACGTTAACTGCGCTTAGCTCCAAGACCCCCCGCTCACCCCGGCATGTCCCAATACCAACACCAAGTCTCTAGGCCCCGTCCATTCTGATTCGTGTTCCATGTTCTGCTGGGTTCCGGCAGGCGGTACTTCCAGTCTGTCCTTTGTCCACGTTCTACCTACATCCCCCTAACTGAACGTTCTATCACTGCCCACAAGTCCTTTCCCAAAGTCCTGTCCTGGCCCGTTTTTCCTTTCATTCTGTCCTCGTGAGGCGTATATCCTGACAGTCCTATCCCCGCCCTCTCTGTCTATCAGTACATTCTATTCCTGCTCCCATTAGGCCCTTCTCACGGCGCCGGCCCTCGGTCGATCACGCCTCTCCAGTTCCACTAGGGGAGTTCTAGCCTCGCCCCACCCCTGTCTATCTTTATATTATACTACCACTCCTAGTGCCCTAATGGAACTATCCCTCTACTCACTCCCCCTGGTTCTACCCGGCTCCAGAGCCTCTCCCTGCCTACTAGTTTATTCCCAAATTGTAGCCCCAGCCATCAGCCCTCCCGAGTTTCTAACGTCAGACACTCTAGTTTCCCGCGAAGTTCTGTCTCCGCCCTCTAGCTCCCCAACTAGGTTTTGGCCCCGCCCCAGACTCCTCCTCGAGGTTCTAGCCCCGCCCTCTAGCTCTTCCTGACCTAATCTTCTCGCCCCCTGGCTCCACCCCGATGCCATAACCCCGCCCCTAGCTCCTCCTCGAGGCTCTAGTCCTGCTCTCTAACTCCTCCTTGAGGTTCTAATTTCGCCCTTTAGCTTTCCGCAAGGCTCTCCCCAGCCCTAGTTCTTCCCTGAGGTCATAACTCCGCCCCAGTCCCTCCTTGAGGTTTCAGCCCCACCCTGTACTCCTCCCCGAGGTCGTAACCCCGCCCCTTGGCCCCTTGAGGTCCTAACCCAGCCCCGTAGCTCCTCCCCAAGCTTATAACCCCGCCCCTAGCTCCTCCTTGATGTTCCAGCCCCGCCCTCTAGCTCCTCCCCGATGTTATAATCCTACCCTTAAGATTCTAGTCCCGCCTTCCAGCTCCTCCCCGAGGTTATAACTCCGCCCTCTAGTTACTCCTCGAGGTTATAACCCCGCCCCCTGGCTCCGCCTCGAGGTTCTAGCCCCGCCCCTAGCTCATCCTCTGGGCTATAACCTCTCCCCAAGCTCTTCCTTGAGGTTCCAGCCCCGCCCTCTGGCTCCTCCCCGACACTCTCTCCCCGCCTCAGGCTCCGCCCCGAGATTGTAGCCCAGTCCCTAGGCCGGGTCCCGGACCTCCAGGCCTTCCCCGACAACCCTTTCCAGCTGTGGGTTCGGAGTATCCCGGAGTTGTTACTCATTCCAGGCCTCCCGCGGTCTCAAGCGCTTTCCGGGTTATTCATCGCGGCCGCAACACCCCATGGCCACCCGCCCTGACTCAGTTCCTTCTCAAATTCCTCTGGTTTCTCTACCCAGTGCCCCCCACATTTTCCGGGGAAGTAGGTGAGAGTCGCCTCAGTGAGAGGGAAAGGTCCTGAGGGACAGTCCCGGGTCTCCAGCACTGGCTCTGCACCGCTCAGTCAGCCTCCCTTTGGCCCTTTTGTAAAAGGGAGTCCTGTCTCCCCGTTTCTCGGAGGGGGACACCTGGCAGCATGGATAGCGCTGGGGGGCGCTGCGGGGTCAGATCCTGCTTATTCGAGCACCGGCTGTGTGATTTTAGGCCAGTTATCTAACCTCTCTGTGCCCCAGTTTCCTCCGCGAAACGAAATTAATAATAGTCCCATTGTCAAACGAAATTAATAATAGTCCCATTTCATAGTTCCTTGAAATTACAAGGAAGAGGCTTCGAAGAGCTCCATTAAAAAAAAAAAAAAAAAAAGCACTTGGGCTGGGCGCGGTGGCTGACGCCTGTAATTCCAGCACTTTGGGAGGCCGAGGCAGGGGGATCACGAGGTCAGGAGATTGAGACCATCCTGCCTAACACGGTGACACCGGGTCTCTACTAAAAATACAAAAATTAGCCGGGCGCGATGGCAGGCGCCTGTAATCCCAGCTACCCAGGAGGCTGAGGCAGGAGAATCGCTTGAACCCTGGCGGCAGAGGTTGCAGTGAGCCGAGAGCGTGCCACTGCACTACAGCCTGGGTGACAGAGTGAGACTCCGTAAAAAAAAAAAAAAAAAAAAAAAAAGCACTCATTAAATTATGTCAAGCTAAATGCCTTTGCTCCACTATATTTCCTTAGCTACCGAAAGCCAGGTACTGCGCCGCGTGGCGTTGCACAAAGCACGAAAATTACTATAATTTGATTAGGGAGAGTGCTGGGGACTGAACCCCATTCCTCAACTCATCCTCTGACAACCCCCACTCCCCTCAATCAGACCCTGTTCCAGGCGCAGGCGTTCGGGACCCAGCCCCTACCTGGGACGCAGATGTGGAGCAGCAGCAGCAGTGGCAGCAGCAGCGGGTGACCCATGTCGCGAGGGCAGCTCCCGTGCGCGGGGTCCCTGCACTTCTCTCCTGGCCTCAGGAAGGAGGCAGTTTTGTGGCCCCAGGGGCTCCTCCCAGACGTTTTGCGAAAGAGCGAGTCAGCCCCAGATGCGTGGGCACCTCCCCCTCCTCCCGTAGGAACCTCCTCCGCCCCAAACTTCCCTTCCCGGGCGCGGTCAGCTGGTGGTGAAGGGGCTGGCTCGGCCCTGACTCATAGAGTTGTGGTCACAGCTGTGTCCCCAGACTGCCTGGGTATAAATCCCAGTTCTCTCTCTTCCTAATGTGGGACCCAGGGCAATCGCTCTCCGCTGCTGTAAAATGAGGATAAAAGCTTTGACAGTAAATATGAATGTGGCTGATTATTAGCTAACAGGATTTTTGTTAGTTTTGTCAGGAGGGATAATGTCCTTATCTAGAGATGCATCCTGAAATATGCATCACTTAAACACTTAACACACTTAACCCTTGCTTTGCTTCCTGCTGTGCCCCCAGCTCCTGGATCAGGGCCCAGCACAAAGTAGGTCCTTGGTAAATGTTAAAAGATGTGTTGAGCCCTCCATTTCGGCCAGCAGCTATTTCAGGCATTGCACCTACATTAAAACACTTAATGGTGAAACCCCGTCTCTACTGAAAATACAAAAATTAGCCGGGCGTGGTGGCATGCGCCTGTAATCCTAGTTACTTAGGAGGCTGAGGCAGGAGAATCGCTTGAACCTGGGAGGCGGAGGTTGGGTTGCAGTGAGCCGAGATCGTGCCACTGCACTCCAGCCTGGCTCAGAAGGAGACTGTGTCTCAAAAAACAAACAAGCAAACAAACAAACAAACAAAAAACACTTCAGCCAAAAATGTAAAAAGATACACTGTTACAACAATGGCTTTGTGCTTAGGTGGATTCTTTTTTTTTCTTTTTTCTTTTTCTTTTTTTTTTTTCAGATGCTCACTAGAGTATTTAGGGGTGAATGTTACTGATGTCTGCATTTTTTTGTTGTTGTTTTGGAGATTTTTGGTTTTTTTTTCTTTTATTTTTTCGTTTTCTTTTGTTTTCATTTTGATGTCTGTATTTATTTTATAATACTTTAGAAGAGGTCAGATGAGGTGGTTCATGTCTGTAACAGCAATGCTTTGGGAAGCCAAGGCAGGAGGATCACTTGGGGCCAGGAGTTCAAGACCAGCTTGGGAAACATAAAGAGACCTCGTCTTTCCCCAAAAAAATTAAAAATAAAATAAAATTAGCTGGGTGCAGTGGCCCATACCTGTAGTCCTAGGTAGTTGGGAGGCTAAGGTGGGAGGATCGCTTGAGCTTGGGAACTGGAAGCTGCAGTGAGCTATGATTGCACCACTGCACTCCAACCTGGGCAACACAGCGAGACCCTGTCTCAAAATAAAATAAAATAAAATAAAAAATAAAAAATAAATAAATAAATAAATAAAAACTTGAGTGGAAAATAAAGGCAAAATAGCCAAATGGTTATATCAATTATATAAAGGTAATAGGTATATAGGGGCATATTATGCCATTCTGTCTCCTTTCCTGTGTGTTTGAAAAGGCTTATAATAAGTTTTTTCTTTCTTTTTGTTATTTATTTATTTATTTATTGAGACGAAGTCTCACTCTGTCACCCAGGCTGGAGTGCAGTGGTGCTATCTTGGTTCACTGCAGTCTCTGCCTCCTGGGTTCATGCAGTTCTCCTGCCTCAGCCTCCTAAGTAGCTGGGATTACAGGCACCTGCCACCACACCCTGCTAATTTTTGTATTTTTAGTAGAGATGGGGTTTCATCATGTTGGCCAGGGTGGTCTTGAACTCCTGACCTCAGGTCATCCTCCTGTCTTGGCCTTCCAAAGTGGTGGGATTACAGGCATGAGCCACTGCACCTGGCCAAGTTTTTTTTTTTTTTTTTTTTTAAGTAAAATAAAACACTAAAGATAACATTGTCTCCCCTTCTTAGGATGCACCTAACTAAACAGAGCAATTTAATGTAGGTGCAATGCCTGAAATGGCTGCCGGCCGAAATGGAGGGCTCAACACATTCCTTTAACTTTTACCAAGGACATAATTTGTGCTGGGCACTGGTCCAGGAGCTGGGGGCACAGCAGGAAGCAAAGCAAAGTTCCCACCTTTTGTGGTGTTGACAGTGGGGAGCAGATATGTGTTATCTAAACTTTCACTGTCTGAGAGGCATAAGCACACTGGAGAAAGCAAAGCAGGCTGAAGGAAGTACCTGGGTGTAAGTGAGGTGTGAGCTGTTTTAGGTGGGTGATCCAGGAGGGGTTCCCTGCACAAGTGGCATTCAGGCGGAGGCTGAATGCAGTGAGGGAAGAAGTGGGGCAGATGTGCAGGGAACCTTTCCAGGAAGCAGGAACAGCCAGTGCGAAGGCCTTGAGGTGGAAGCCTGATGAGATTCTAGGAATGGAAGAGATGTCAGTGTGGCTGGAACAGAGTAGGAGAGGAAGAGAGTTGTAGGGGATGAGTAAGTGGTAGCTACTTCTACTGCTGTAATAATGATTATACTATGTGATTTGTTGTTGTTGTTTTTGAGATGGAGTCTCACTTTGTCTCCCAGGCTGGAGTGCAATGGTGTGGTCTCGGCTCACTGCAACTTCCAACTCCTGGGTTCAAGTGATTCTCATGCCTCAGCTTCCTGAGTAGTTGGGATTACAGGCATGCCTGACTACTTTTTTTTTTTTTGAGATGGAGTTTCTTTTTTGTTACCCAGGCTGGAGTGCAATGGTGCGGTCTCGGCTCACTGCAACCTCTGCCTCCCAGGTTCAAGAGATTCTCCTGCCTCAGCCTCCTGAGTAGCTGAGATTACAGGCATTCTCCACCATGCCTGGCTAATTTTTTTGCATTTTTAGTAGAGATGGGGTTTCACCATGCTGGCCAGACTGGTCTTGAACTCCTGACTCCAGGTGATCCACCTGCCTCAGCCTCCCAAAATGCTGGGATTACAGGCTTGAACCACCGCGCCTGGCCCTAATTATTGTATTCTTAGTAGAGATGGGGTTTTGCCATGTCGGCTAGGCTGGTCTCGAACTCCTGACTTCAGGTAATCCACCTGCCTCAGCCTCCCAAAGTTCTGGGATTACAGGTGTGAGCCACCGCACCCGGCCCTAATTTTTGTATTGTTAGTAGAGATGGGGTTTCTCCGTGTCTGCCAGATTGGTCTCTAACTCCTGACTTCAGGTGATCCACCCACCTTGGCCTCCCAAATTGCTGAAATTACAGGTGTGAGCTACCGCTTCCAGCCTATACTATGTGATTCTTACTAATTCATTGAAGCTGTAAGCTAATGATTTTAAGATAAGGTTAGAAAACAAAAAACAAAAAACTCCCAATGGTGAGCACGGTGGTTCATGCCTGTAATCTCAGCACTTTGGGAGGCGAAGGCTGGAGGATCGCTTGAACTCAGGGGTTCGAGACCACCCTGAGCCACAAAGTAAGACCTTGTCTCCATAAAAAAATAAACAAAATTACAGCCTGGACTACCTAGTGAGACCTTGTCTCTACAAAAAATACAAAAATTAGCCAGGCGTGGTGGTGCACACTTGTGGTCTCAGCTACTCAGGAGTTTGAGGTGGGAGGATCACTTGAGCCTCAGGAGTTTGAGGCTGCAGTGAGCCAAAATTGAGCTACTGAACTCCAGCCTGGGCAACAAAAGTGAGACTGAAAAAAAACAGAACTTCCAAAGAATTTCCTAAGAAGTAGTATAGCCCAGTGGTTAAGAGTGTGGGAACTGGTCTCAGATTTTGAGAATTTAAATTCCATCTACATATTGGCTGTGTCACCTCTAGCAGGTTACTTAATCTCTCTGTGTGTCCAAGCCCCTTTTCTTGAAAGTAGAGATAGCAAGGATCACCCTCCCAGGGCTGGTGTACTGGGGAGGTAAAAGAATCCACCTAAAACGACTGAGCGTGGTGGCTCACGTCTGTAATACCAGTGCTTTGGGAAACCAAGGCAAGTGGATCACTTGAGATCAGGAGTTCAAGAGCAGCCTGGCCACCATGGCAAAACCCTGTCTCTACTAAAAAATACAAAAAAATTAGCAGGGTGTGGTGGCATGCACCTGTAATCCCAGCTACTCAGGAGGCTGAGGCACGAGAATTGCTTGAACCTGGGAGGCAGACGTTGCAGTGAGCCAAGATCGCACCACTCCATTCCAGCCTGTGCGACAGAGCTAGACTCCATCTAAAACAAACAAACAAACACAAAGAAGAATGCACCTAAGATGCTTGCCACAGTGCCTGGTACATAGTAGGTGCTCAATAAAAGCAATAGCTGCCAGTATTATCGTTGTTGCAACTCTGGACTTTCACCTCTTCCTGGAGTAGGAAGGAAGATGGAGACCTGTCATTGAGTCTGACGTCAGCAGTTATCATGCATCAGCTGCTGAAGTGGGCCCTTCCCTGGCTGGGTCACCCTGGGCCAACAATGTTCTTCTTTCTGAGCCTCAGTTTTCTCAGCTGGAGAAGGGGATACCTCTTGGGGCTAAACTAAACTAGATAGGAGTGTACATGAGGTGCGGAAATAGAACGGTGGGGTGTTGGTCCAAGCAGGCTTGAGACCCAGCTCAGCCACTTGCTTCTGGGTGACCCTGGGCAGATGGCTTCACTCCACTGATCCCTGACTTTCCCACCTATGAAATGGGTCTGGGGTGGGTGGGGGGCATCTCTCAGTGAAGAGAAAACTCAGGTTTGAGGGTCATACGGAGCTGTGTGATCCGCTGCTACCACTTCCTGGTTGGATGACCTCACTTCTCTGAGCCACAATTTCCCAATTTCCTTTTTTTTTTTTTTTTTGGAGACAGGGTCCTAGGCTGGAGTGCAGAGGCATGATCATAGCTCACTGCTGCCTTGAACTCCTGGACTCAAGCGAAACTCTCACTTCAGCCTCCTAAGTAGTTGGGACCTAGGGGTGTGCACCACCATGCCTGGCTATTTTTTCATATTTCGTGTTTTTTGAAGAGATGGGGTCTTGGTCTGTTGCCCAGGCTGGTCTTGAACTGCTGAGTTCAAGTGATCCTCCTGCCTTGGCCTCCCAAAGTGGTGGGATTACAGGTGCGAGCCACCATGCTCAACCAATTTCCTCTTTAGTTAATAAGAGGTATTTCAGAGCCCACTCATCACTGCCCAAGGCTGCCCTCGCCTCCTGAAATCTGTCTTTTCCTGTGTCTGTCTTTGTCTTTTTCTCTCTCTCTGTTTTGTCCTTTTTCTTTTTCTCTGTCCCTCTTTATCTCTCTCAATGCCTATCTGTCTCTCCAACTCTATCACTTTCTCTGTCTGTACCTCAATCTCTGTATCTGTCTCTCTCTTCATGTCTTTCTATCTCTGCTTTTCCCTTTTCTCTGTCTTTCTCCATGGCTCTCTTTCTCTTTCTGTGTCATTGTTTCTGTTTCTATTTCTGA